ACACGCACACACACACACACACACACACACAGCATCACACACGCACTTTTCAAAAAGGTATGGCCGAGTCGCGAAATTCGGGCAAGGCGGTGGGTCCCCATCCGTCAGTGAAAAATGCATCATGGGCACACTGTCGGGTTCAACGTCCGGATGAGTCGGTGAATGTTCTCGACGAAACAGTTTCCCACGCAGGCACCCTTTTATGTGAGCTTGTCTTTATCCAATACAAAGCACACACACAAACGCGCAGACACAGAGAGAGAGAGAGAGGAAGGGGGGGGGGGGGGGAGGAGAAGAAGACGGGAAAGAGATGGAAGAGGGAGAAAGTTGCTCACTATTTCGTGTCCTGACAGAGCCGACGTGGAGACTCTGCACAAGTCAAATCACCATTAAGCGACCCGTGGCTGCTACGCTGCTAGCGAGGGAAGTGAATGAAGATGACCGTGTGGCGGTATCACTGCAAACGGCTGACACCCTCAGGCGATCCAATGGATGTCACTTTGGACAGAGAGGAAGTCGATGTCCCTCTAACCTTCTCACCCACTCTCCCTCTCCCGCTACGTCACCCTCTCCCTCTCCCTCTCCCACTCCCCCACCCTTCGACTTCTCTAGCAATGACAGGCGAGAACCCACCAGCTACTTCGTCAGAATCGTGTGTGTCCAATCGGCTCCACCTGCCCTCGGCCGTCTTGATGAACAGGGGAGTCCAATTTTCTCACTACTGCGTCTCCCCCTCTCCCCCCTTCCCCCTTCTCTCTCTCTCTCTCTCTCTCTCTCTCTCTCTCTCTCTCTCTCTCTCTCTCTCTGTGTGTGTGTGTGTGTGTGTGTGTGTGTGTGTGTGTGTGTTCCAACTCCACCACTCGAGAGATCGCCGGTACTTATGATTTTTATTTTTTATTTTTGTTTCTTGTGGGGAGACCGATGATGAGATCGATGGCCACCGAAAGCCGAGAGCTACCGAACGCCACCGAGAGCTAGGTACGTAGCCAACGATAACGAGAGCCGACGGGCTGGGCCCGTTTTCGGGGTGGGTTGGCTGAGGAATAACAGGAAGGCCCCATCGGGCCATTTGGACATCTAGGGCCTGAGGGCCTGATGTGTGACTAAGATCAGCCGATGAACAGGCCCCGTAGACTGCCGGGCATCAGGCAGAGGTTACTCTCGCAGCCAAGCCAGGTGCTAATACTTCTACGGGAGAATCTGCCTCCTCGTTAATCTTTTCTCTACTTGGATTTTCGCATTGTAGCGCTCCTCCGTCTGTAGGGAGCCTGGTTCCCGCAGAAGACAACAGCGCAGTGAGACCTTCCGCAGGTTCCCGCAGAAGACAACAGCGCAGTGAGACCTTCCGCAGGTTCCCGCACAAGACAACAGCGCAGTGAGACCTTGCGCAGGTTCCTGCACAAGACAACAGCGCAGTGAGACCTTCCGCAATTACGGTCGCTTGTAGCAAGCCAAAATCCGGGCCCCCCCGCACGTGTCCTCGGTGCATTGGTGGATGCCCCAGGATTTCCCATTCCCAAGGAAGGAGTCACTACCTGGAAGAACTGTTGTTATCTGAACGCATTCATTTTGCAATGATCTCAGTTTCTGACCATTTCCACCAATCGTTTCAAGGTTCATAACTCCCCTTTTTTTGAGTTGATTGTTCTGTTGCAGGTATCCCTTATTTTGGGAACCCCTCTGACCTATCTGACCATTTGTGGACGCCCACCGAAAGCACAGCAGCGGCGTAAATGACCCAATCCTGACATAGGGAGGTAGTACCTTTTTTTTGTTTTTTTTTGTTTTTTTTTTTGTTTTTTTTGTTGGAAAGCTT